TCATTAACAGGCGATACTTGCTGAGTACCTTCAGTGCGCCAGGTGCTACGCTAAGACACTGTGCTCGTCTCACTTTATCCTTGGATATCCTCTAATGCAGGCGTCACCAACAGTCCTCCTTTTACAGGGAGATGGCTTCGTAACCAGTAAAGAGGGAAGCCAGGAATTCTACTGGGCTTATACCAAAATAAGAACATGGAAGCATTGGTTAGCTCTGGGGTCAGACGAGCTTGGTTTCAAACTCCAGCTGCCCACTCCTAATTTGCGTAACTTTTGCCAAGTCACGAAACCTCTCTGAGTCTCAGTTTCCTCATCTATAAAAGAGGTCAATACCAGCACTTGCTACCACTAAAGTGACCTTGAGGTTTAAGTGAACTGTGGCATGTGAGGTGATGCTCCTTCAATTGTGACAAGCATTGACTAGGCACCTTCTGTGTACTGGATCCCAGCCAGATCTGGGTACAACAGTCATGGAACAGACACTTCTCAGGACCTCCAAGCCTGCTTAGCCTGGTACCCGGTCCACAGGCTCCCCGTGAATGGCAGCTGCTCTTTGTGACTATTGCTTAGAGGGTAATTTTTCTCCCCACAATTTGGACGTCCCACTCTGGAGTGTCCAGGTCCAGAGTGGGAAGTCCAAGAGTCTGCTGACCTAGCTCTGGGTGTGCCCTGCCCCTGCCCCTGCCCCTGTCCCATCCTGCCCCATGAGCTGGCCTATAGTGGCATCCCACAAGGCCCAAGTCAGCAGACGTCTCCTGCCTAAATAAGGACAAGGCGTCCAGGAGAGCATTCTGTGAGCCCGAGGAATGTGACAGCTGAGCCTTCCCTGGGTGGCGCCCACCCCCGCCTCCGGCCCCTCCCCAGGTGGGGCTCAGCTCTGGCATTCCAGCTCTTCCCAGAGTCCCCAGGTCCCCCACAAACCCTCACACCCCACCCCAGGATGACTGGAAACTGATAAGGAGCTGGGGAAGGAATTCCAGGCAGCTCCATCTGCTCCCTGGGGGCTGGCGTGTCCCTTCTGCCACAGAGACATGGCAGGAAGAAGGCCCACAGGACCAGGCCCAGCCCAGCCCTGGGAAATCAGGCCTCTTAGTTCCAAAGGCATTTCCAGGGATCATAACTGGCCCCAGGTCATGCCAGCCCCCAGGGCTCCACAGGAGAGTCCCAGCACTAGGGATTTCCTGTCATAAAAGCACCACTTAGGAGTCACCCATGGGGTAGCCACACCTTCCAGGGCACTCAGAGCTGTGTGGCCATCCTGGCCCTGACCACACCAAGGAGACCACTGAGGTCAGTGATCATGTCTATCATTTTTGTCACCTCTGCAGTAACGGACACATACCTAGCACATAGTAGTTGCCCCTAAGGGTGCGGAGGTTTTGCTTGGTTTAACAGATCTGCATGAATCTGAAGGCATTAAAACTAAGGCATTAAAACCAAGACATGGGTTGGAAAAAATATGGAATTTGACACGTTAATTCAGAGACATTTATGGAGCTGGTGGACCTATGCCTGGTCCTGGGGTGGTGGGGAAAGGAACAGCACAAGGAAGCAAAGGATTCCCTTCTTGGTGATCAAACATGATTGATCAAATAACAAGGAAGGATTTGATAACAAGGTGAGAGGCCAGCAGGGAGGGATTGGGTCTCAGGTGGCCCGTGGGATGTTTTCACAGAAGTAGATCAAACGAGGGAGAGGGCACTTATGGGAGGATGAGGGAGGGATTTATGGGAGGATGCAGGAGGGGATCACCTGGGCAAAGGGGAGGCACGGGCTGGGTATGGGTGATGCTAAGAACATAGGTCCTGGGGCCAGATGTCAAGGTAAGTCCCCTATTCACTCCATACACACTGGCTGACCCTGGGCAACTCACATGACACCACTTCCCACAGCAGTAAAACAGGTTGGCCAGGGGTCCCCAAGATGACATTTGCAAAACTCCACTTGGTCAAGCAGGTTGTGAAGGTAGATTGCAAAGGCCACAAGGAAGGGATATTTGTCTGTTTTGTTCATTGATAAACCCCAGCAACGAGAACCAGGTCTGGCTCAGAAAAGGTGCTTAATAAAAAAAAAAATATGCTTAACAAATAAATGGGTAGCTATTACTATCATCATCATCATCATCATCATCATCATCAGTGATAGACCTGGTCTGGCTACAGCAGAGGAAAATTTTAAAAAGAACTTTTACAGATAGGAAACAGGCCTAGACAGGTGAAGGGATTTGCCTGAGATCACACTGACAAAATGTCACAGGAACTGGGCCCTGGCGGGTGCTCTTCAATCCCACCTCCTTTGTCCTTCATCCTGCCTGCCTTCTGTAGTAGTTACCTGGTGTCCACCCCGTGTGGGCATTGGACTAGGCAGCAGGGGTAGAGAGAGACTGAAAGCCCAGGTTCTGCCTGCAAGAGCTTGTAGACTAGTAGGGATGGTCATTAGAAAAAGAACCCAATTGAGAAACTTCTGCCTTCTAGAGAGCCTCCCCACCAAAAGAAATGGGACCTGCAAAAGATTCTCTGAAGATGAGACCTTTGAGCTAAACATGCAACAGAGCAGACAAGAGGGACTCGCCCTGTGCCAAGCGGCCAGCGGGAGGGTGCTTGCAAGCTCTTGCCTGCTCTCAGAACCAACTGCTTGCTCCCACCTCATCTAAGCCCTGAATCCAGAGACTGCACACTGGTAGCTTGAAATTGGTCATATTTACACCATGGAAATTAGTCCATTGTAGGAAGCAGGGCTTTTCCCATCCTGGGGAGCTGGCTGATCAGCATGCTACTTCTTAGAACAGACATTAATTAAGGAGGTGGGGGGAACTGTCTCAGCAAATTCAGAGCCTTGTATTTCACCTGTAATCTCCGTGATGCCCCTTTGAAAATCAGGTCACTAGCTCTCTTGATAAAAGCTCCTGAAGTGTGTCCTCTTGTAATTGAAAGACGGCCCCTACCCTACTGGTCACGGGGCCATTCCCAGAGTGGGCCTGTCATTTGCTCTGTGGGGGAGCTCAGGGATTGAAGAGGCCCCTCCGGGGCTGTGCACAGGGTGCTTCTCCCTCCATGCCATCCTTAGAAACTTTCAGAGTCTTATTTTAAATGTTGAGGTGTTGGTTTTGTTTTCCACAAGCCTACAAGCTGGTCAGCCAGAGAAGAGAGGAAAGGGTGTTTTAAATAGAGGGAGCCAAGGTACAGGAAGGTGTTTTGCAGACACTTTCTCAAGTTTAAGAGACTTGAGAAAAGTTCACCGTGACTTGTCGTGAGCCAAAGAAGAGCTAGCATGGGGCAGATGACAGAGGACCTTGATGCCATGTTCACTGAGCGTGGCTGAGACCGTCAGCAGTTCACCAGCCCGTGTCCTCCAGACACCCGCCTCCCTGGCAGGAACGTGGCCACTGGCTCCACCAACAGAATGTAAGGGGACAGGAGGTGTAAGAGCCTCCCACGGCTTCTTCCTGTGTCTCCCTTTTCCCCAGCTTGATGCAGAAGAGCAGGACGGCCTTGGGCACCGAGGTGTGGAAGGCAGAGAGCCACGAGGTGGACGGAGCCTGGGCCTCCCGATGTCCCCGTGGAGGAGAGCTGCCCTCTGAGGAAGGGGCCCATTCTGGACCTCAGGTGAGCAGGAAACACACCTGTGCTCATCTCCTCTAGGTGTGTGCTGGTTCCCCACTTAGTACAACAAATAAAAGGATGAAGAAGATGAGGGAAAGATGGCAAGAGTGCTCCTGCCTGCCTCCCCTCCGCTACGGTGGCTCTCATTCCAGGGCTCCAGCAGCAGGCTCAGCTGTGACCAAACCGCTGGCTCCGGGGGGACACAGCGAGGAGGACAGACGCCCTTATTGTATGAGACTCCAGAAGACACCTGTTTGTCTCAATATCCATTCTTCTTCCATAAGAGCCTCTTAGACTCATTAAGAATCAACCACTGATAAGCATTTAGTGAGTGCCTACTGTGTGCAAGGCCTGTCCAAGGTGGGGGGAGGGGGCTCTTTTTACCCAAACCTCCCACAAGTCCTGGAGAAAAGGCCCTGCCAAGGGCTGGCTCTCCCGCTCTCTGGCCCTAAGAAGACAGACGGGAGAAATGTGTCTTACAGGCTGCTGTCTCTATTATTTACCACTGGTCGTACCAAAAGTGATAAATGGTACCAGGCTGTTCATTAAGTAACACTGTTCCATCATAGTTCCGCGTCAGCCATTCTGACAGCATCAACGAGCACCTCATTTGATGCTCATATGTTTTTAATTCCTCTCTTATGCTTCATTTTTCGTTTTCACTGCTGGCAGTCAGATCCAAACCCCGACCCGTGCTCAACACACATTCTACCCCTGAGTGCCACCCGCAGGCCCAGTGCTCCTTCTGGAGCACCGCGCACAGCAGCAAGCAATGCTGAGCCTGGGCTTTGAGGGAGGAGTTGAAGGATAACTTAATGATGCTTCATTTTTCTTTTCTTTTTTTTTTTAATTTTTTAGTTGCAGATGAACACAATACCTTTGTTTTATTCATTTATTATTTTATGTGGTGCTGAGGATCGAGCCCAGTGCTTCACACATGCTAGGCAAGCCCTCTGCCACTGAGCCCCAGCCCCAGCCTCCTCTTTTTTTGATAACTTCTTTTAACCTATTATTAGATTTCTATTTTCTATTAGTGGTAATGATCTAAAGTTCTTTTATAAAAATAAATTTAGACTTAAGAAAGTCAAAATATTTTTTAAATAGGGAGTAAAAATCCGAATGGCATGTGGGTACGGTATGACTCTGGAAGGCTCATTGGTGGCTGGCACTGGGGACACCTTGCCTTTGCCCCTACTGTCACACCTGTGGGCCTTCACCCAGGCTGGTCCCTCTGTCTGCTTTTCCATGATGACCTCACAGGGCTGCCCTGGGCTCTGTCTGGGCTGAGTCACCTCCCAGTGAAGCCATAGTAACAATGGCTGCTCATGGCAGGGACGCAGAAAAGGCCAAGTCAGGGAACAAATCAGGGGTGGCTTTTTTCCCCCCCAAAGACATGGCTCAGTTCTCCAGGAAATGGCTCCCTGCAGAGGGCAGGGACTTGCCCCAGATCCTCGGCCTGTCGGTGGCAGAGACCTTTCCACCCTAAAACAAGGTGGACAGAAGATGACAGAGAGCCCCAGATCTAGCAACTGCCCTGGGAGGATCTAGTCTGGAGAGATACTGGCCTCGGATGAGATGATGTGTGCCGATGGCTTTCCCCAACCCAGCAGAGGTCTGGAAATCACCCAAAAGGTCCACGCTCAACAACAGCCACCAATGGAATCAATCGTGGCACAGCTACTTCATGGACACCTGGGTAGGAGTTTAAAAAATCGGGTAAAATTCTTTATCTGAAAAGATATGGGAATCTCTCCAATTTACACCCAGCAAAGAGAAGAAAGCAAAGTTTAAAACACCGTGTGCAATCTGCAGCTCCCAACAGGCATCTGCTGATAGCAGGTGTTTCTGTGTGAAGCTGCCATTTTGTAGGTGGAACCTGGTCAGATACCAGCGGATCTCACACACTCAGTTGATCTAGGCCAGCGACAACCCAGGGAGGAAAGAAACCCAGGTAATGCTGCCTAGGGGGTGTGGACATGGCAATGAGACTCTATACTTTTATAAGGGGTGAGGGGCTGGGTCCAAGTGAATGTTCACAATTTCTCAAAATTAAGGGGGAAAGATCCTGAGGGCCCCTTCGCACAGGTCTTCGTTGGCACGATGCTGTCTGCACACCCCCGAGTTAGGGAGCTGGGGTGAGCAGGGGAGAACTATCCTGGCCAGAGCTGGGGGGCCACCCAGTTAGCTCCCACAAATCCCACTCTAGAGGGCCCACTTGGTGCTACTTACCCCCTCTACCCATGGGTCAGAGCCCCTGGGGCCCACGCCCTTGGCCAGCTTCAGCATGGCCACAGAAAGCCCTGTGGGTTCCCACTTGACACTGGGTTGCTGAGCTTGTAGCCTCCTCCCAGATCTGGTGGGAAGGAAGTTTCGGCTCTCCTGTGACAGGCACACACAGATTGTCCCCAGCTAACTCTGCCAGCTCCTCCTCCATGTCCCCACTGGACATCAATGAGGCCCACGCTGGCATGTCTCCCCAGCTAGGATGGAAGCGTCAGGAGGGCCAGGATCCTTCTGCATCCTTCCCTGAGTCTAGAACACTACCTGGCCCACAGTTGACTCTCCATAAACATCCGTGGAATGTGTTTGAGGAATTACATGAGTACAACCGAGGATGTCTCCCTCTGAGCTACAGGTTTTCCCTGTTAGAAGATGATTGACAGTTAACCCTGTCCATCAACCTCCTTCCCGAGCCTCTCGTGGGCTGGGTACTATGCCAGGAGCTGGCACCTGGGTTAAGGTGCCAGGAACTCATAAAACAGGGCACCCAGACTAGGCCTGAGCTCAGTGCTTCCCCGAGGAGGAAACGTCTGAGCTAAGTGAGGCGAGATGAGTGAGCTGGTGTTATCAGTGAGGTCACAGTGAGGGACAAGCATTAGGGCACATGGAACAGCTATGCAAAGGTCCATCGGCAGGGAAGAGAGTGACCCTTGAAGGAACAGTGGCTGAAGGTGAGTGACACGGAGACTGGTGTGAGCTGGGGCTGGTGGGGTGAGCTGAAGCCAGACAGGAAGGGTCCTGTGGGCTGAAGGAAGAATCTGGAATTTGTCCTACAGCAGACACCCGGTGCCTCTGTCACATCTCCTCTGTCCATTCCTAATTTCACCCTCACTGTGAAGGACAGGGCAGCCTCGCCAGCATTGTCAGGGTCACACAAACACAGCTGTCTGCGACCTGCCCAAAGCCTGCTCAGATGCTGCAGGAGACCCCTCACTCCCAGGCCCATGCACAACCCACAGTGGGAGAATGTACACCCCAGGGGAGATTCTCAGTAAATAAGGGACTGGAGCCAGGGCCGGGAATCCTGGGGGTACTGGGGTCCCAGCTGAGTCCAGTCCTGGTGGTCTGGAGCTTGTCCTCCTCCCCTGTCCCCCTTGCCCCACTCCCTGCCTCTCACCTCCTTCCGGGCATCTCTTCTCAAATAAAGCACTTGCTCCAAACTTTGTCTGGCTCTGATTTCAAGGGAATTCAAACTAAGGGTCCCAGGAAAGTTCGCCCAGCAGAGTGGCAAGGCCGGGCTGACAGTTTTCAGGCAGGAAGAGGAGGGAGGAGCTGGGAGGGACCCTTGCAGTGGGCCAGGACAGGGGTTGTTGGTGGTGACGAGAGAGAGAAGGGGCTGGAGACACACAGGGGTGCCTGGTTCCCCTCAGGCCCAGAGGCTCTGGGGGCAGGTGGGGTGACACAGAGGCCCGCCCGGGGCCATGCCCCGCCGGGGAAGGCAGCCTTGCGGAGCTCCATCCCTCGCACCCGCCTGGTGCTGGAGACCTGTTGCAAGGGGCTATTTTTAGGGAGCTGGGTGTTTACTGGACAGATTTGAGGCCTGGCTTTATTTTTATCTCCCCTCCTGATGGCAGGGCCTCGCTGGTGTGGTCTTGGGAAGGCAAGTGGAAGCTGGAAACCCAACTGAGCAAGGCAGTGCTGGGGAAGGAGGGTCACGCTGGCTCCACCGTGCCCACTCACCCTGTGCTAGGGGGGCAGAACCATGGTGATATTGGCCCTGGCCCCCACGGACCTGCCGAGCACCCCCAGAGCACCATGGCCATGCAAATCCTTCTACACACCCACTTCAGGGATCCTGGGGTAACCCCAGGAGGCAGGGCTGTTACTGTCCCTATTCCACAGACAGGAGGGCGAGGCTCAGAGAGGACACAGGATGGGCAAGGACAGTGCAGGATTCCAGCCTCGGTTCCTCAGTCTGCCCAGCCTGTGCGCTCGGCCGCTCTACAGAGAAAAGCACGGCCAGGCACCAAGTACCAGGTGGGTGGTAGGACAGAAGCCTGAGGGGTGGGAGCTGAAGGCTTTCTCCTCCAAGGGCTCAGAGGGCGAGTCTGGGCCAGAGAATGGGAGGCCTGGCCACGCCCGTGGTTTTGTTGAGTTCGGACTCCTTTCCTGCGAATCTAAGGGGCAGCTCTTCGCTCATGAGGATTAATGAGATGGAGCCGTAAACGCCCTCATCCTGGGGCCTGGCAGGCGGTGGTGAGAAGGCCCTGTGGGGTCCCCGTCCTGCTCCAGGCTCTGTCCCAACACGGCACGTTTAAGGGCACCCTGGGTCTTCCCTCATGATCTCAGAGACGACACACAGGGGGTGGGAGGCTTAGGGGGAGACAGCTGCCCAAGGCCGCGTGACCAGTGAGTGTGGAGGCCTGAAGCCCAGGCCGCCTGACCTTGACCCTGACCCTGACCCTGAGCTCTCAGACACTCCGTCCTGACCCCAGGGCTCCCGGTCAGCACCCTTCCAGACTTGACCCCTGAGTCCCCGGCGCTCAGCTCAGGGAAGTGAGGAAACGCTCCCCTTTGGGGTTGAGGGGCCCTCTTCTCTCCAGGGTGCAAGCTGCCCCCCTGTCTGATTTCTGACTCTGCTCTTTGGGCTAAAAAATAAGGTGGGAAGACCCTGCGGCTGGGTCACGGGGACGACCTATGACCTCCACCTCACCGAGCCCCGGCCTCTTCCTGCTGGATTTGGGAACAAGGACCAGAAGCCAACGAACGAGGCTTCAGGGCCCCCCTGCTCACCTGCCCTCGCTGGGGTTCTGCCCCTTCCTGCCTCAGTTTCTCCATCGTGACATGAGCCCATGAGGCCACTTCCTGCCTGAGGTGACTTCCAGCCGCCTCCTTCGTCTGAGGACTGTCTGGGAGCACACGGCTTCTCCGCCCTCCACGCTCAGGGGCGTCCCCCTCCCCCAAACACACCGCCCCCCCACCCCCGTCTACGCCTCCCCCTGCCAAGGACACAGGCCAGCTCTTCTCCCCCTCCTGGCCTCTCCGCCTTGGTGTGTAATGTCACAGCTGCCTCGTGTATGTCACCAGAATCCCGCCCCATAACTCAGGAAATTCCACTGACCCCAGTCTTGGGTCTCTGGGCGCTGGGGATTTTGTCCATCTGGCGACTTGGGAAAGAAGGACGTGAGGGAGGGCAGGGGTCCCAGGCTGGGGGTTCTTTCTGTCCTGATGAGCCCATCCCCAGGGAGCTGAATACACTTAACGGACCTCAGGAGGCAAGCCAGAGACAGAGGACAAGGACAGAGGGTGCTGACGGCGGTCCCTGGGTTCATGGCTCACCTGAGTACCCTCAAACAACTTGTCACAGCGTGGCAGCCGGGGCTGAGGGAAACCACACTCGGCTGGCCGGCCGTTGAGGAGGAGGGGATCTATCTGGAGCGACCCTTTGGGAGGCCAGTGGGGGTCCTCGTCATAATTACAACGCGCTGGGGATGTGGCACTCACCTGTAATCCCAGCAACTGGGAGGCTAAGGCAGGAGGATCACAAATTCAAGGCCAGCCTCAGCAAACTAGTGAGGCTCTAGGCAACTTAGCAAGATCTTGACTCAAAATTAAAAAAAAAAAAAAAATAAGAAGGGCTGGGGATGTGGCTAAATTACCCCTGGGTTCAAGTCTCAAACCCCAAATAAATAAATACATAAAATCCTTTTCCACCCAGAAAATCCACCTCTCGAAATTTAACCCGTATGTGTATCCCGTCTCCCTTGCAACGATGATTTAAATAAACCTTAACTGTATATGGGAGGATGGCGCGGGAAGCTGGACGGGGTGGTTTGGAATTTTGCTTTTTGTTTGTGTTAATCCACTCAAAGGTACCGTGGACCCTGTGGGGAGAGTCCACTGAGGGCATATCATGGTGAACATCAGGCGACAGTCCCCTGCGGAGTCACCCAGGTGAGCTGACATCACCCCGCAGGCCCTGCTTATCTGCAGTTTCGCTTTCCAGCTTCAGTTACCCAAGGTCAACCCTGGTCCAAAAATATTAAATGGAAAATTCCAAAAAGAACAATTCATAAGTTTAAAATAACTTCTAGGCTCGTGGAGTGTTATAGTTGTTTTATTTTGGTATTGTTGCTAACTCTTACTGTGCCTAACTTGTAAATCAAACTTTCTCAGAGGTATGCGTGCACAGCAAAACGCAGTCTAAGGAAAGTACTGTCCGCGGTTCCACGCACCCACTGAAGGTCTTGGGAAGTCGCCCTGTGGAGAAGGGGACTTCTACATTTCCCATGTATGCCCATGGTGCTTGAATGTCCCTGACAGGATAAGTCGCCTGGTTGTCCCTTTAACCTGTTCTGTGAGTAGGATATGGGTCCTTGGATGCTCACTGCAGCCTCGTTGGTGATCAAGAAAAGATAAAATGGCTTAGTTTTTCCGCCCAGAGAGATTGGCTGAATAAATCATGGTGCCCTGAACTTTGGGATATTCTGTGACCACCAAAAAGAGTAAGGCAGACCCATGTGCATAAGATAAAAAGGCCTCGAGACACTGAGTCAAAAAGACAAGCTGCAGTTCTATTTATGAAAAACACAAAGAAGAAAAGGTCAGTGGGCAGATTCTTTAGGTGAGCTGTTAATAAAAGTCACTTGGAAAGCACAAACAGGGCAGAAGTAGGTCAGGGATTTTATTACTTTTTTTTTTATGATTTGGATCTTCCTTGAATCTTAACAAGGATGTTGCTTAGAACAGTGATAAAAGAGCAAAAGAAGAAAAGAGAGAGACAGAGAAATTCACCATTTCAAGTAGAAATTCACCATTTCAGTGTTGTGGCTAAACAACTGCATTTAGAATAGCAGCAAATAAAGCAAACTCTGGGGTCAGAATCAGCCCTCTCCCTTACCAGCTCTCGACTCTGGGCATGTTTCAAAAAATCCCTATGTGCATCAGTTAAAGGAGTTGACTCAACTTGACATATACCAAGTCCTCAATTAAAACCACACAATGCTAGCCATTATCCCCAGGCCTTCGTGTGGGGCTGAGGTTAACCGCAAGTGTTGCTGAGGCCCGGGGTCTCCTGACTCATGTCCCAGGGCTCCTGCTCCACTGACCTGTTTCTGCCTCAGTGACCTCCCCCTAGCAGAAGAAGTGGAAAGGGACTG